TCTCGGTTTTGCCATGACGTTTGAAACTCGGTCCAGTTTTACCGAAATTGCAGATTTTCACACGCGCCAAGCATGCCACATGAAGCGCATGTGCCACCCACAGAGTGGTTACCGTATTTACTACTGGCCCTTTAGCCTTGCTACTGAATTTTACAAGATAAATCTGCGTGTTTTTTATTGTAGATTTTTTTTAAATACTACCTATTATCCTGACTGGTCATTAACTTTTTGTGAAGACTGTATAATATATGTATTTCAACTTTTCCTAACACACTGAAGATCCAAAATCAGAGACAAAAACTATACATTGTTGAGACTGAAACTTAAGATACCCCCCCCCCAACCCTATTCAGAGGGCTCTCATGCTCTAGAGGTTATGGTGTTTGCCTCTCATTCAACAGATCCCGTGTTCGATTTCGAAACCTGACAGCCATTGAAAATGTTCTTCTCTAAAATGTTCTCCTTTGACCACCGTTCATGCTCTCTAACGATGCTCAATCGTCTGCTTTCGTCTCCACTCTCTGCCCCCCCCCCCCCCCCCCCCCCCTCCTCTGGGCTCCTGACTCTTTCTGCTGCTTTTCTACTGCAACTCCTTGGCTCCTTCTTACTGCTGTCTTTCAGCCACACCCCTGATCTAAGGGTAGGTAAGATCTAATACCTAGCCTGCCCGGATAAGGGCGAAAAATCTCGGAGATTCCGTGTGCAAGTTGCGCGCGGTAAGATTCCTTGGTAGTCCAAAATTGATAAAAGTAGGCTTCGGCCGCCACCCACGCAAAATTCGAAATTAATTCCCACCAAACTAAAAATGTTTAAAATGTCCTGCGCGCTCATATGATCTTATGCAGTTTCGAGTGCCGTAAAACATTTATCACAATAAACAAGTACCTTTTTCTAGCTAAAAAAAAGTATTTCGATAGACTTGTGGCTCATTGTACGGCTGATGCATATTATAATGTCTTTCTCGAGTTTTCACTATGTCGCCCACATGTAATTCTTGAGCTAACTATGACTAGCTGGGCCCCCTTTCAATGAAAGGATTGATCGGTGCATTAACATCAACTGGAATGGAGCAATAAATCTTGAGAGAAAAGTGACACATGTGTTTCCAAGTTGCCAAATATATAATAGATGTATAGATTGATTCTCTATTCTGCTGTCGTGGTTGTACACCCCCGATTTTTAAGGTGTTAAAAGCAGTGCGCACGGCTAGTGAACAGAGACCTCACTTGTTTACAATGGCATCTTAGAAGACGGACTTTTCAAAGATTTAGGAGGCCAGAATGGCGAACTTTCACAAATATCATTTATAGAGATAACAAGTTCCTTCGAGAACATTTCGAAACGCCATTACTTCTACGCTACGCTAAAATGACGAGTTACGAACTTTGGGCTACCCAGATCGAGAACAGTAACAGAAAGTTCAAGGTAAATGGAATAATGTTGGGATCATTAAAAAGATAGGGCAAGTAAGTGCATTGTAACACGAAAAAGTAATTCAAATAGCCCAACTCCTATCCATAACCTGTGGTATCAGACAAATGTGTCAAGCCATCTAAACAGTCGCAAGTTCTGGTAGTTTTCCATAAAATAAAAGACAATGGTATTATCTGAAAGCACATTTTCTACATTTTCCTTTTCAAAAACGTGTATTGCTTTATTTGAAATACCACTACCCCCCCCCCCCTCCCCCAAACCAAACAAAATAACTGTGTCCCCTTTTTTGTCAACAGCTTTGCGCTTCATAAAGTTTATAATCTAAACAATGTTATTAATGTACCCAACTCTATCCAATGTTGAGTTATTTTTTAAAAATTTAAACTGTGGCTTCAGAGGAAGTGAAACAGCTTTCAATGGCTGCGTCACTTTAAAATAAAATACACGACATTGAGCCAGGTTTTCCCTAATCACCAAACATATTGTATTGACTGTTTCTTTTATTTAGATGAGATGTATCCAGTGCAGCGTCGGTAGAGTGATTACCTGGAATACCTGGAGGTGTCATCTCTTACTCAGAGGTTGACGTGTAATGCCCCTACTTCTTTCACTCTCGGGAGCTGCCGTTGCACATTCTGCTGTACCAAGGCCAGTTCATGTTTTTATGTTGTCCATCCATGTTACTCTTCTTTGTCTTCTCCTTGTTCTCCTGTCCCACATAATTCTTTCAAGCACCTCTTTCATAGGGGTCTCGTGTCGTTTTAAGTGGCCAAAGTAAGCAGAGTTATTGCAAATACTTTAATTGCCCCTATCAAAACTTTTATATCATGCTGGGGACCGGTTACTTCGACCCTGCCAGAAAGATAGAGAGTGGGATACTAGATGAAACAGACCTTTTTAAGTAGAATACAAACAGACGTCCTTGAGTTCAACACAGATAACTCTAACCTTTATATCATACACGCTGGCATTCAAAGTTCTCTTTGGCTGACAAAGTATAAGCAGTCTGCCTTCAAACCATTAAAATACATGTACATACAGTGTCTCTGGAATCCCAAATGATTTACAACATACGACAACAATCAAAAAGATATATAGAAGAATGGAGAGAGGGGAAGGAAAGAAAGAAAGAGAGAGAGAGAGAGAGAGAGAGAGAGAGAGAGAGAGAGAGAGAGAGAGAGAGAAGAGAGAGGGGGAGAAAGGGAGAGAGAGAGAGAGAGAGAAATATAAAGAAAAAGAGGTTTTATAAACAATGCGAGAGAAAAAACATGCTCAACATGTTCGTGCTGAAAACATCACGTCATCACGTGTACACCTTATTTTTGAAGCATGATTTCTACAGTGTTACTTATTACGACGATAAGTGGTTTGCACTTGGTATGCTGCAATGGGTTCTTTTAATTTTTTGTCCGTGTTGCTACATTCCTTGTCCATTTCTTTCAGAAGCAAATACTATTATCCGTCAGGCGACCTGAGCCAAACTAAAGCGTCAGTATTTTGCAATGCAGTTCACTTTCTTTAAAAAGAAAAAAAAAAGGCCACCGAGAGCCTTATCTTAATTCTACAGATCCCACAACCGTCGCCGATAAGAAAAATAAACGATTTGTTTTGTTTCTCAAAGTCAAAGCACGTCTCTGAAAACAGAATTAATCGAGCAATGATGAAGAACTCGATGTCGGTCAGAGTTGTTTTTTGTTTTTTAAAATCTTATTGATGTATCTGTTTTGTTGCGTTACAGTATTGCAGCCTTGTGTACGCGCGTCCTTCAACAAAGAGCAGAGTGTTGTCCTCGCATTGCTGCAGTGTCCTTCGTGTTTGTTAGTTTCTATTTTCGACACAGTCGTGATTTCAGTGTTATGCCAGAGTTCGTACACAACAAGACAGTTCACTCAGTCGAAAAAGTGTCCGCGGAAGTCCGCGCATTGGTTCACATGACGCTGCAGTCCTTGTTTTGAAGCTCTCTTTCTTTTCTCCAGAAGAAGAAAAGGAATAGCACAATTTGGTGGTTTCACTTTTACTGTTTTTCAGACAAGTAGGGTAGATATGGAATGCTGTAGATATTGTGAATGCTGGACAATCACTAAAGACAGTGAAAATAAAATAGAAGCAACAGAAATTAGGTTTCTCGGGAGACTGCTAAGAGTATCGTGAAAGGAAAAGAAATCAAATGAGGGAGATCTAGTGCTTGATGAAGCCCACGTGGGTCGCTCAATGTTAAAAACAATCAGTAAACGACAACAGTTTTTAGGAGACATAAATAGACATAAGGGTCTTGAACACCTAGCTCTCACTGGCAAAATTGAGGGCAAGCGAGCAGGGGCGAAGGCTGACTTGTTTGACAGGGTAATCAAAGTGAGATGGGCATGGGACCAGATAGGACCTGGAGATATCACACTCACACAAGTCACAATTAAGAATCTTACTGGAGGCGGCAACTCTCAGTTGTGAAGGAAAACAAATCCTGAATTCATGTTTTATGCATTTTATTCAACTGCTAAAAATAATCGAGAAAATATTTCCTTAAATATATACTTTAACTAACCTTAAATGTAACTTTAGATTTGAATACGCGAACACCAAGGAAAGAAGCAGAGATGTCAGTACTACAATGGCATGTTATATCAGACAGTCTGAACACTTTGATAGAGCATGCTAATTTTTAATTTTTTATTTCACATTTGGCTGTTTTTTGTCTAGCTTTTCGCGGCCAGGAGCCGGTTTCATAATCGAGGTCACGATCTGATTATATTATAGAACGTTAAAAAATCGAGGAAAACAAGCAAGCACTCGCAGTAGTCAAGATATTATTAGGAGTTAGTTCCCCTCACATCTGTGAGGTAGACTCGACCAGTGTAATAGTTAGCTTACATAATCAGCGCGTGTGGCTGCTTATAACTGTGGCCCCAAAGGGGTGAACAGGGTATATGTGGCAATAAAACAGTTTTGACTGCTATGCACATGTTCCCTGCAACTCTATTGGTAGACTCTTCCAGCCTCACTTTAAGCTTACTTAATCAAAGCTTGTGACTGTTTATGGAGTGGTCCGATAGGGGCGAATAGGCTATTTTTGTGGCAATGAAACGGTTTTGAAGGTAGAGACATTAGTGATCATGAACGTCTTTTTACATTTAATGTATGAGATTTACGTCTATGGGTGAATCTGACTGCGACAATGCTTCAAAATTAGGAAGGGAAGCAGTGATTATTTGATTATATAGACGCTTCGCCGCTGCAAGCGAGGCAGGGGAAGGCCCAGAACAACATTTTTGGGTAACTTAAACAAATGGGTGACAGGGAAAGATAAGGGAAACGAGGCTTTTTAGAGCGTCCAAGCAAAGGAATGAGTGGAGAACCATGATCGCCAATGTCTGTCGCAGATCTGGCACTGGATGATGATGAGGGTAGATATCTAACTCTTATCGCAAAGTCTGCACTTTTTCTAAGAGGGCGCAACCGAATTTCGAGAACACTTTTTTAATTGGTTCTAATGAAGGAGTGAACTATCTTGTTATGTACAATCTTTGATTCTGCCCTACCATAATATATATTATAACAGTAACATATATAAAAATAAGAACAAAAATGATTACAGTTATCATTTTAATTCTCCATTGTTTTGAGCATGTTTGCACGAGTGTGCAAATGGCTAATGAACGGAACTACACATTGCAAGCACTATGTCTCGCCGTCTGGCTGCCATTTCTGCCAGGTGGAACAGTTTAGATAAGAAAGAAAGAACACAGCGAGGTAAATTGTTGAGGATAATGTTTGGAAAATTGCTGCTATCGTTGAGTAATTTAGATGCTGCCCTGAACTCGGCACTCCTGAACTCGGCACAATTGCGGTCCCGATTATGGATACCAAAGATAGTACATAACAAGATGGGCCACTCAGGGAAAAAAGTGTCCGCAGGAAGTTCGCTCTTTGCTTCAGATAGCGCTGCAGTCTGTTTTGAAGCTCTCTTTCGTTTTTCCAGAAGAAGAATAGGAATAGCACCTCCTT